CCTTCCCACATTTTCTCCCCCAAATTTTGCCCACTGGAGTTGACTGCTGAGCTAAGAAGTAAATTTAAAGTGTTTACCTAACACTTGAAGCCATTGCCAAACATCCGTCTAAAGGAGTCTCCATGAAAGTAAACACGTGCCGGAGGTCTCGTGTCACTCACGGTTTCATTTGTAAATTTGGAGTACACCCTGCCGCCCAGGTAGCCTCTAGGGATGAGGACGAAGGAGCAAGGGGCTCCTGCTTTTTCATGGGAGAGGGCAAGCGTCTGTTCATGAGGCTATTGAAGAATAAACCTAATGTGAGCTCAAACAGGGATTTGGTGGTGAGAGACACACTGCAAAGTGTTGCTATGGAAATGGATGCTTAGGGGCTTGACCTTGTCCAGAGGGTTTGGCAGTTTTGCAGGGTGCCAGAGCCTTGCCTGTAGGCTTTAGCAAAGGAATGGGGTAGGCATAAATGACAGCGACTCCAGTCATTCATTCTCCTGCCTCCTACCCTCTGGAATTCTACGGCAATCGTGTGGCTGCAGAGGAGATGTCTGAGGAGCACAACACAGATCTATGGAAGAAAAGGCCCAAGACCCAAAGGGTAGAATCCTAGGAGAACTGGCAAGTGTGGTCTCATGACCTGGCCTCAGGGCATCATCTCCCAGCTCATTAGAAATGCCTGGCTCAGACCCATGGCATCAGAACTTGCGTTTAGAAGAGCCCCAAGATTTGCACATATGTTCAACCCTGAACATGGAGCAGGCCTACAGACAATCTTCCCCATCCCCAGGCAGATCTTTTCTCATCAGAGAGTGACAGCTGTCTGCACTCAGATCTATATAGGCATTCGTAGAAGCCAGCAGGGAGCATACCTACCCTTCAGGGCCTCCAGGTACCTTCCTCCTGCCCTGGTAACCATCCCACTGGCGACAAAGGCAGAGTTCAACTCTGAAAAGATAATCTGGCCCCAACTGGTATAAGCTGGCTGTTTAGCTCAGCCCCTTTCCTCTATGCAGGGCTGGCCAGAAGATCAGAGCTGGCCCTTGAATGGAGAAATAGACCGAGGTTTAAATTTATGATTTGCTGTGTTCCCTTCCTACTGTGTGACTTAAGCAAGTCACCATTTCTCTGAACCCCAATTTTCCTACCATAATAATGCCCCTGCTGTGTGATTGATGTAAAGCCCCAAACATAAAGTGTGTGTGAAATAAGGCAGGTCCGAGACTTGACAGCAAAGCTGGAGTCCTGACAGTCACTAGTGAGAGCCATCACATCTCTTTGCCCTTCTGTGCATTGGTATTGATCTGTAAAATGGAAATAGTATTGGTAATTATTTCACTGGAGAGGCTTGAATTAGTATTTGAAGAGTATATAGCATAAATGTTTTACATATTGTGAGCATGATATAGTTTGGTATACAAATAAAAACAATGCACCCAACAAAGCAATAAGTCAAAAGCAAATAACCAGTAAAGGTTTGTAGCTTTAGACTTGAAGGTCAGTATGACAAAAAGCAAAGTAAAGAAGACAGGAGAGGGAGAGGAGTGGGGGCAGGGAGACCCAGAGTACAAAGACAGATGTCTGCCTGTCCCTCTCCCTTGGTGGTTTAAGTACTCGGTGGATGAGCTGGATTAGAAAAGCTGAGTTGTGGTCTTCCAAGTGGGCACATGAGTAGTGAGATAAGAAGGTGAGGTCCCAGAAGGTGCGGTGGGGAATGACAAGATACACCACCTTGTTTGTGCTTTAGAACCCATGAGTCACTGACACTGCCCCCGACTTGACTAGCTGACATCTATGAGACAGCACAATTCTATGGAATCACGATACAGTCCCTGGAGGATGCAACTCCTCATATCAAAGGAGAAAGCCATGTTTTCTGGGCCACTGCAGGGCACCATTGCTGTCTAGTGGCAGAGGCAGAAAGGCAACGGTGACTTGGTCCTTGACTTCCTCTTGCCTTGTCTCTGGAAATTCAGGTTCATAGGCTTAAGGGGTCCTGCAACTTCGATTGATAGCTTCTTTCTGTGCCTTGATAGCTTCTTTTCTGTCCTCCAGTTGGCCCATCTTGCCACGCACAAGACATGTCAACAGCAGCTTTCACAGTATTGAGATGTCAGTGGGTCCAGTTTTCTACCAGTTCAAGTGGAAATCGGAGTCCAGAGAGAGTCGTGAAGCACTTGGGTGGGGGCTAGGGGAGCAGCTGCTTCCCACTCAGAACTTGCTAGTGTTCAGGGTCTAGGCTACTGATGTAGTTGATGCATCTTACCTTGTTTTGTCTTCTCTTGTCACATCAATTTTAATGGGTGGCTCAAAAGAGTCAAGTGATTTGATTTAACCACTGTCATCACCTAATCAGCTGCTGGTCGGCAACAACCGATCTGAGTTTACAGTTTAAGATTTGGGTCATGAGACATAGGACTACTACATTCAAGGTTTGGTAATAGATATTACACAAAATTGAAGTGGGGTGTGTGTGTGTGCGTGTGTGTGTGTATGCTGGAGGGTGCCAGAGAGATGGCTAATTGGTAAAGTGCTTGTCACACAAGCATGAGGACCACAGTTTGGTCCAAAGTCCCCGCCTTAAAAATGCTTGGCATGGTATCCCACGCTTCTAGTCCCAGCTCTGGGGACAGAGGCAAGACAAACTGTAGAGCTTGTCGATTAGCTAATCTAGGCTAATTGGCAAGTTCCAGGCCAATAAGAAACCCATTCTCAAAGGACTTAGAAACCCCAAGGAGCAACACCTGAGGTTAAACTTGCTTTATAGTCAAGGATAATCTTGAACTTCCTGCCTCTTCTCCAACTGCTAGAATTACAGGCCTGTGGTACTCTGCATGGTTTATGGAGTGCTGAGATGCAACTCGGTGCTCACACATACTAGGCACACTAAATACTCATACCCATTAAAAGCAAACAACAGCAACAACAAAACATCTTGAGGAAAGAGAAAATCTGCACAAAGAGTTTGAGAAATTCTACACTAAAGGAAAAGGTATCCTTGCCTTACAGTGTCTCAGAATCCTAACATGCTGGTGGATATTTTATACACTTCTCCTTCCCCTCCATCCTTGGTCAGCCCTTCATGACCGAAGTCAAGCCTTGCCCCACCACAAAGCGTCTGTTGTACCCTCCATGCTTCCCTGTGATCTGCTTTTCTCTAATCCCATTTCCCTTGAGATCTTACTCAGGTATTATGTGATGAGACGCCATCATTGCTCATTACTTCACTGACAGTGGCCTTGTAGTCTCAATGAGCCATGAAATTCTCTTACAATAAGAAGCCTGTGGCATGCCTCTGATCCTTCACGGGATTCTTACACCAAATAGGAAACAGTTGGCTCTTGGTGTCTGTGAGGAAGTAAGTTCTGGGACCTGGGATAATAATAATAATAATAATAAAAATCCTGCAGTGCTCAAGTCCCTGGTATGAAACAGAGCAATTGTTTGCCCGCAGCTTCTGCACAGCCTCCCACACACTTAAATCATCTGTACTTTATCGTTAATTCCTAATACCACATAAATGCCATGAAGTAGTTGTCACACCGTATTGTTCAGGGAATAACGACAAGAAAAGCACCCATAAAAGTGCACTGGGGATGTAGCTGCTTTTGTTCGACACTGTCAAGCTGCGTGTGGTGGAATCCTTGGGTATGGAACCCACTGACATAAAGACCTCACTACTCGTTATTAGAACTAGATGAAAACTTACTTGTGAAGCAGAAATTGGGACATCCCTTCTGTGTGCCCACCTGCCAAGCCCAAGAATGCAGGGTAGATAAAAAATAGTCCTACTTCTCATTTTGAGCTTGTCTCTGCCTTGGGTTAAAGGATCTTGCTCAGGAAGCGTCTTCAGGCACATACAACTCAGGATTCTTTGGAGGTTTGTTCTTGCATGTGTGTGCTCATTCATGCATAGTGTTTGTGTGTGTGCACATGCACACACGAACATGCACATGTGCGCTCACCCATAGGAACAAAAGTCCATGCCTTAGGTGTCATCTCTCTGTCATCTACTTTATTTTCTGAGACAGGGGATGTCACTGGAACTCCCTGATTCTGCAAGGTTAGCCAGTGATCCCCAGGGGTCCTCCTGTGTCTGCCTTCCTGGTACTGAGATCTCGAGTGTTCACCAAACTCAACATTTTGTGTGGCTTCTGGGGGTTGAATTCATACTTGCAAGACAAGTGTTTTCTGACTGACCTTCCATGTTTTAGAAGGCTGCAATGACTCTACTGTCTGAAAAAAAAAAAAGCAAGCCTCGTATGGACATGAATCTAGCAGCAGCCAACCTTGTTTCTCACCCTCACGTCCAAGACAGGGAAGGTACGCACTGAACTTCCAACTCCCCAGTGCAAACATCTGCGGCTTCTGGGATTGTGACCATTTGTACTCTTTTCCCATTTTCAAGCGTCAAGAGTTTTGGAGGTCTCACTGTGTTCGAAACTTCCCCTCTCAAAAAACCTGAATAAAACAGAGTAAGCTGTCCCCCTTTCCTATGAGAGAATAGAGAATACAAACCTTTAATCCCTGCCAGGTGGTAGTGACACACACACCTTTAATGCCAGCACTCGGGAAACAGAGACTGGCGGATATCTGTGAGTTCAAGGCCAACCTGGTCTACAAAACAAAAGCTAGTTCCACTACAGCTAGAACTGTTACATAGAGAAACCCTGTCTTGAGTTAACAGGAAAAAGAAGAAAAAACAAAACAAAACAACCACAACAAAACCCCTTTAATCCCAGCACTCAGGAGGCAGAGGCAAACCTGGACTATAAAGGGAGTTCTGGGTTGGCCAGGGCTACTACACAGAGAAACCCTGTCTTGAAAACAAAACAAACAAAAACAATCACGTGTCAGATGCACACCATCAGGTTCTATTTCTATCAACAATATCTCCACCCATAACTGCTAGAGAAACCCCACTGTGTGTTTTGGCATGCTCTGTCAGACCTCGCATTGACCTGCTTTCAGTTGAACCTCACTCTGATTCGGACTGAGAACCCAGAGATAAACAAGAACCGGATGATAGTGCACCTCCTATTTCTAGATGTATCCTCTCTCCCAGTCTCTGCTCTCTCCCCTGCACCTCCAGTGCCCCACAGTGTGCTGGAAGTCAGGTAGGGCAATAGGTGGGAGAACTGGCTTTTGGGAAGGAACAGCTCAGCCAAGAAAGGGGTGGGCAGCTCTGGACCAAATTCCTAACCATGTGGCAAGTTGGCGTCTAGGAGGCTGGCCTCAGTGAAGGCTTCATTTGTGGTTTCAGAGCTACTAGATTTCTGAGGAGGCTAGAAGAAAAAGCAAAGGTCTGTCACCGAGTCCGGTGCCAGTCTCTGCCTGCACCTGCCCAGCTGGCTGATCTTGGCAGCAAACAAAGCCAAGGAGGCCGCTCATCATGCTGTGTGCAGGCTGACAAGATGGCTTGCTATGACAGGCAGGGACCCTGGCACCCAGGGAGGAATTTTATGAGAATATTGGACATTTACAGGGTGGTTCTCACAGTCGCTGTGAGCTCGCACAGTGGTTCACGGGGACTTTTCTAAAAGCCTTTGTATAGGCTTTTTATTAAACAGAGGCTGGCTGGACGTGTAATAGCTCCGACCCTACCATCCCTGGAAGGGTTTTGCTGCAGGCGACTCAAGCTGCTCAAATCCACAGAGCATGAGTTACGCATTCCACAAAATTATTCCATAAATCCTAAAATGGGCTTTGAAAAAAAAAAAGCGAGAAAAACAAAGCAAATCAAGATGAATAAATATTAATGAATCTCCACTGTGGTGAGCGGAGCGCGAGGCAGCGCTAATGACTGTCAACAGATACCATCGCCTTGAATATTTCATGGAGCACTGGTGCCGGACCTCAGAGTCAGGGTCACTCACCTCTGTGAGCAGGGGCAGCCCCCGAAAATCTGCTAGGGTATGGGGGAGGAGCATTCGTTTACCAGGAGGCTGGGTTTGCTAGCAAACTAGTGAGCTGGCCTGTTGTGTGTAGTAATAGCACTGTATTTCCTGAGCAATGTCACGTGGTGTCCCAAGCAGCTACTAGGATGTGTGCTTCCCTCCCCCGAGGGTACTGAGGACAAAGGAAATAATGAAAGTGTAAGGGAATAGAAATAGGGTCAAAGGGATGGGAAAGGGACAAGAGAGGGTAATGGGGTGAATATAAGCAACCTGCATACATGTATACATGTCAGACTGCAACTGTTATTGTGTGTAATTAACATATGATAATAAAAAGTTTCAAAATGAAAGTGGGTGAGGCACTCACAGTATATGTGCTAAGTTACAGAGCTGGGATTCAAACCCTCAACTCTGGACTCAAAGCCTGGCACTACCTTCTTCCCTTCCTCCCATGAGATTTTCTGAGGGTCAGGTCACATTTTCAGGGCTGGATATAAACTCTCCATTGACTTGGCACAGGGCTCCCTGCCTCACACATAGTAGGTGTTCAATAAATCAATAAATAGTTGTTGAATCAGATTGAGTTTCCTGCTAGGAGAAGAAAATAACTTTGGCCTCTCCTGGGTGGGTGGGAATCCACGAGATAAATCATCCCCCAGGGACAGAAAGCCATACTGTCCAACCTCCTGGGAAGACACAGCATCACCGCCCTTCCCATTATCACTGCCATTATCACCAGGCTGCCCAGAACTGGAGTGCCTGATACAGAAGTGAAAAGCCTGGTGGACAGTAAGTGGCTCTTCAGTGACAGCCCCCACTTCTGTGCCTCCTCTTTAAGGCGAGTCCCCCAGGGGCTGCCAATCACATACCATTTTTCCCCAACCACCAAATTCACTTAAACATTTTCTTTAAATTAACAAATGGAAGAACAAGCACAGACTTTCTTCAGACCTCTGCCAGGTCCCCATCCAGACAGCTAAAATGTTCCACCTGTCAGTCATCGAAAATACCAGGTTTGAGCTTTGTAGCACCCCCTCAGAACAGTCACCATTAACAGTCCTGGTGACACTGATTTCTGAAGCTTCTGAGACAGTAAGAGAAAGGGAAGACTGGGGCAGGGGCAGCAGGAGGGAAGAGAGAGGTGTGTGGTGGTGAAGGTACTCCTTGATTAGCCTTACTCTCTCCAACTCTGTCATGTGTGTGTCTCTGTGTGCATGCAAATGTATGTACCTATCTGTGTGTGTATCTCTGTATGTATCTCTGACTCCCACTTCTGGAACACTTTCCCCCGAGTCAAACTTTCATTCTTTGAAATGATTTCCTGCTTACCTAAGCCTACTACGCAACTTTTTATCCCTAAAATGCATTCCTCTTCCACATTATTGACTTACTCCTGTATAATCTCTATCCATAATATCCATATAATACCTACATCTCTTCTCAGACAATATTAATTAGCTTTAAATTTTGTGAGTGCATGTTTGTATGTGTATGTAGATACCTGTATTGCATAAACATGAGGTCTAGAGATCACCCTTGGCTGTTGTTCTTCAGGCAGTATCTACCTTGGTTTGTGAGTTTGTATGTGTGTGTGTTATTTTGGCTTTGGCTTTAAGACAGGGTCTCACTGGTCTGCCTGAGCTTAATGAAGAGAATGGTTGACCAGGGAACCCCAGGGATTTTCTTGTCTCCCCATTCCCAGTGCTTGTTAGACTACTACCCTCAACTTTTTAAACATATTCTGGGCACTGAACTCAGGCCAAGGGCTTACAAAGCAAGTGCTTTATCAACAGCCATCACCCAACCCTGATTGCATGTTTATTGAGGCACACTTGCTCTCTAAGTGAATTATCGTTAAACATAATCATTAAAACATTCTGTTTTATAGATGAGAAAACTGAGGGTCACCATTGTTCACTGGTTTTTCCCTGTTAGTCTCAACCCATGTGTTCCGTTGCAAAGTGTACCTTCTGGTTTTACTCGATCCTTGAACCTGCTGTGGTTCTCATGCTGACCCTTCTTGGTGACAAACATTGGCCACATTCTTGCCAGGAAATGAAACACTATCAGCTCCCTGGCTCCTGAATGCTGCTGTTAATACTTGAAGGTGACAGAGAAAGATACTCTATACCCCAGGTTTCTCCCTCTGTTTCTGCAGGAAACCACAAAGAGATTGTTGTAAACAGCTTGGTCAAAGATACCTCAAGGTCAAAATGGTCATCTACCAAACACTGTTGGATGGCACTGTGATGTGGGATGACCTTCTGAATATGTGTTGTTTTTTTGGACAATGAATAAAACTGTATTTGTCAATGGTTTAGCAGAACAAAGCCAGGTGGAAAATCTGAACAGAGAAATAGAGAGTGAGTACGTGAAATCAAAGAGACATCATATAGTTGCTGAAGGAGACAGACACCGGATGAACCCTTACTGGTAAGCCACAGCCTTGTGCCAATACACAGATTAATAGAAATGGGTTAATTTAAGATATAAGAGTTGTCCATAAATATGTTTGAGCCATTGACCAAATAGTGTTGTAATTAATATAGTTTCTGTGTGATCATTCGGGTCTGAGTGGCTGAGAAATGAATGGTCTCGTACTACAGCGCTATCAACTCATTTGTGTGGTGTCTCATGACTTATCTATAGTGTGACCATGCTTCAGGAATTCCCAATGCCCTCAGAAGGGGAGTGGGCTTCCCAGTAGTCCCAGCCTCCAGATGTGGGAGCCCTAAAGAGCAGCTGATTATGCAGCTGGCTCACAGAGTCTTCTTTTTAAGGATAATAAAATCTGGGGTTTCCAGGTCTTGATCATAAACCCTCATTTGATTTTACACTTTCTAGAGACCTGCACCCCCATTCTCTCCAGAACATCAGCTTTAATTTAAAGGCCTGTCAAAGGCTTTCAGAGCTTAAATCTTTCCCCTCCAGCTGGTCAGAGATATTGGCATATTAATCTATTTAGCAATTATGTGAACAAGCTCTGACCATGTGTTATTGAAAATTAAACTATCAAAATGTGTCCAATCAAATCGTTCAATTTTCTCAATCCCATCGTGTATTTAGATGCAACACCAAGATTAATTGTGAAGCAATGGGCCAGGTTCACCAGATGTTTTGCTGACCCCAGTCAAGGCACATCTGTCTCTCGGCCTCTAATTCTGGTCTGGGTCAGGGTCACTTTATTTTAACACACTGTTTGGTCTCTTGTTCCTTGCAGGATTGTGCAGCGCCATTGTCAGCTGAGGATCTGTTTGGAGAGAATTACTAAGGAAGGAGAAACGCTCGGTGGCTTTGAGACAAGGATGGAGACTATTGTTTGGGGGGGCAATAAAAATTATAGGTATTTTGAGTCCCAGTACCATAGAGAAAAAAATATAAATTATAAGGATTGGAAGCCACAGGTCTGGATTCCATCCCAGAGTCACTGGCCTTCCCTGTTATGGCACAATTTTGTCCCAGTTGTCCCCATCCTTCCCCCATTATGCAGTATCACCATGAACTATATAAATGTTACCCAACCAGAATGCCCAGGTATCACAGAGAGAGCAAAATCTTACCAGTTACACAAAATTGGTCTTATCCTGGATCCCTTCCATTGATTGGATATGTAACCAGAGAAAAACCAGAGTTACCACCTCTGAGCTTTCTCAGTTATCCAATTAAGGAGCTAAAATATCAACCTTTCAGAGTTGTGAGAATTGGGACAGGGTATGTCAAGAAAGCCTGACTCTGTGTGCCATGAAGAACATTAAACTTCTTGATTTATACCTGACCTGTCCTGTGTGTCCTGCTAATTATGAACTGAACACTTTTGAGCAAGTAATAGGGTCTTTCAAACTTTGGTTTCCTTGGCTGTAATGTTAAGTGTTTAATAGGATCTGTCTCACAGGAAATATTCATGAACCATATAATTCATGGAAGTGTGTGATAATTTTCATGGAAAAAAGCAAGCATTAAATGAATATTCCTGGAATGTTTTTAACAACATGGAGTGTAACCAAGTCATTGATCAAACATCCATTTTACTCTCAACTTTCTTATTTTCTTGACTCACTTCTATGTTTCTATATAGTTCCCAGAATTAAAATAGTACTAAAAGTCATTATCAGTTGTGAACAGAACTGAGGATACAGCTCAACAGTAGAGTTTCTCAGTTACACCCATTAGGTACTGAGTTCAAGCTCAGGTAAGACCAAAACCAAACAAACAAACATAAAAGGTCATGTGATCTAATCTCTGGTGTAATCAGATACCTATCCCCTTTGTAATACGACAAGAGAAAAAAAATATGCTGCAACAATAAATGCAGGTGACTCCTTAAGAGGTCAGGTACTGATACATGAAAGGTAGTTTTATAAAATACCTCAGGATGTTCATCTTGAAATATTATTGTATTCCTCAGGACAACAGTCTGAATAATCTTTGAGAGTGATGGAGCCTCCCTCAGCTGTGGTAGGCTTAACTCAAGACCCTACAGTGCTGGACAGGCAATGGTCATCAAATCTGCCCAGCATTGTTGGCCTGCCATTCGCCATAGTTAGGTATGCTAGTCCTCAACCTTGTGGGGCCACTTGCTCCCAACTTTGGATGGACACGGTAGTGATCAATTAAGTCATGTTCCTTTTGTTCTCAATTATGTGGCTTGTGAGGAGCTCACCACGGATACCTATCTTTACTGCCTATGGGGCTCTGACTCCTACCACACCTCAAGACAAAGCTGCAGTTTTCCTGGTCACATCATTATCTAAATCCCTGTCCATGTGGCAGTTAGGGTGGTCTCTTTCTAAGAATGAGTGGAGGATGTTTAGAAGCCATCTATATCCACAATTTAGTAGTGTAATTAAATGGCAGAATATGTAAAAGGTCAATAGTGTTTTGTTCCTCGAGGGGTGGGAAGCTCATGGGAGCTAGCCAGGAAGTGACAAGGCAGGCCCTGTTGTCTTTCTCAAAGCATTACCCATATCTGATCAGCTTGGCTGTCTCAAGCCCAGATACAAGCTCCCTTATTAACTTTTCTAAGTGTTTGCAACATTGGCAATTTAACCCTAGAATTCCTTTTAGCCCTAACATCTGTTTTCACTGTAACAATACAAACTAAGAATTGCAAATCAAAAGAAAAGTGCAGCCTGCCAGGATGAAGAACAGAGACAGAGACAAAGGAAAGGGTGGTGAAGAACAGGAAGAGACAAAATTTCATAACAAGACTTTTCCCCCAAAAATCCCTTAAAGCATTAGTAAAGTTATGTTGTCTAGCTGTTTACTCTTAACTAAAACATTTCTACCGTTGGGAGGAGAGGGACTCAAGAGATGCAGGAAGCTAATGGAAAGTGCAAAACTCACAAGGTTTACAGGACCCGTCCTGAAGTTAACAAACATGGAGAAAAATAGCTGGGGAAAGGAGACTCTCCAGTGAGCTGGCCAACAGTTGGGCAGGAAGTTCAAGGAATTCACCTTTTGGGAGTCAACACCCACTCTCTGGGCTGTTCAGTAATAAAGGTGCCTCTGAGTCATGCATAGTAGTTTAAGTAACACCAGTGAGCTCACTGGTCACTAAGCTATATGTAAGTGGAACAGTTTCTTTGGATTATCATTGGTGTTCTCTCAGGAAAATGGATATTAGTTCATGTCCCCTCAGGAAAAATTACACAGTAAATCCCAACAAGCATTTGGTATGAGTTGATCTATCAGAACTACTGTTGAAAGGTAGAGAAGGAAACAGATTCATAGGTAAAGGAGTTTAAGGATAGGAGTCCACAAAATGTAAAACTTCCAATCAGTGGGTCTAAACATTCTATATAATTTTGTTATTAAAATATTCAGAGGCTTACTACAACAAGTGTTGGCTTCAGTTTCTTTGTAAAGTACAGAAAATCACAAGAATATGGTGGATGTACTATTATAGTAAAACAAAACAATCCGTCAAAGCCTAAAACATGCACAAAGGAAACCTAGGACTACATAAATTCAGAAAGTCACATTCAGAAAGAGACACATTTTGGTTTGTATCCTTACAAATTAGGAGATGAGGTTGGCAGCACACACTGTGGAAAACACAGTCCAATTCTCAACAACTCTTTAAAAGGTCAGAACTCTGGCTCGGCTTATGGTTGAGACTCCACCAAAGCACTAGAAAATATAGAGATGCTGAAGTGACTTACTCTCTTGCCTCTGGCCCTCATCAGGTACCCATGCAGAATACTGTACCAAATGTCAGAGTTACTGTGAGAACCGTCCTGCAGTGTAGACTTTTGTAGCCACCTGAAACCTGAAGAACAGGAGGCTTGACAGAAGTCCTCCGGGAACTCGGTCACCAAGCCCTGATGTAGATGCTTCAAGCAGGAGAGTCCTGCCCCATCCCAGCTACAGACTGGGTTGACTCTGATCTCCTTACCAGCAGCTTAACAGAGAAGAGAAATACAATGCTCAACTTCACATGTCAACTCGCCCGAGCCACCCAGAATTTTATTCTGGATGTGTATTTGAAGATATCTCTAGATGAGGTGAGATTTGTATTTTAATCAGGAGGCTAAGTAAGGCAGATTGTTCTCTCTAACCTGAATGTTCCTCATCCAATTGATTAAAGACCTGAACAGACTCAGAGCACTGAATAAGAGGGAACTGCGCCCATCTTCTGTCTAGAGCAGAGTGTTGGTCTTTTGGAGCCTCTGGAGTCAGATAAAACATCTGCTGCCCCTTTACTCCCTCACTGAGATCAGAACCGAGATTCTTTGGGCTTCCAAGTGGACTGAAGACTAGCGACTATCCTCTAGGCCTTCAGTTCAACACTAGGACTGCTGAGGCATCCTGACTTATATTGGCATAAGCCAATCAAATAAATACCCCTCTAATATATATTCTATTGGTTTTGTTCATCTAGCAAACCCTGACAAATGCAGTGACATAATAGCATTTTAAGATAAACTGAGATAAATTAGATGTTGTAAACCATGAAGCAACCACTTTTTAAAAAGTAGTTTAGAAAGAGGCATAACTATAAAAATGAGGAGTGGCAGGCAATACAATGGAAATACAATAGATAGTCGATTCAAAATAAGGCAGAGAAATGAGATTAAAGATATCAACTACTGGAATGGCAAACAGAAAGTGACCAGCAAGACTACACATTTATATCTACCCTGTCAATATTTATATAGAATATGAAAGGCCTGTATCTCGACTAGAAGGTAGATTGTTCTGTTGGGTAGAAAAATCCTGTCATATGCTACTCACCAAGATTTCATGTATAATACAAAGATAAAACAAAAAGCAAGGGAGGGAGCAGGTACACAAAGAAAGCAACCAAAAGAAGCCTGAGAGTTCAGGGGTGGTGAGCTCTTGATAAATGCTGAGTGTGGAGCAGGAATTACAATGGGATTCATAAGGAGGAAAACTGCTTACAGTGGCTGAAGAAGAAAGCAACCTGGTGGGTGGACGCCAGGCATCCCAGCAAGTACCCATAATCTTGCAGTCAGCCCCACTTTCCAGCAAAGCCCTTGTGCCTCATTAAACCACTTGGGTAGCAGCTGCGTTTCTTGCTCACCTCTACCATCATGATGCATTGCTGATTAACTAAGTTAATCCTTCATACAAGTTTGTTGTCTCACATGTAAAGACATAGGTATGTGTTAGTGAGTTTGTCTTTTTATAATTGGAATTCTCATGGTCCAAAGAGCAATTTGGAAAGTAAAAAGGAATGTGCAGTTGGACTGTTCGTAAATCTCAGTTCTATGATTATTGAACTATAAGGTCTTGAGCAAATTACCCAGCCTTCCCTGCAAACCCATATAAATCCCCTGTGAATAGATGAGGAATTATGACCCACAAGATTGTTGAGAGGATTAAATAAGCCCATTTGTGGGAAGTGTGGTATGTAGCATAGGGCATATACTCAGGGAGGCCCATGTTACCCCAACTTCCCATGAGATAAGCATTTCTTGGGCATATATTGACATAGTAGCTATGGGGTAGGAGAGACTGGATCTCTTTTATGAGGGAGAAGTGTGGTCTAAATGGCTAACTGTGTGGCAAGTCCACCTTCTCACGCTGGAGCATAACTGGGAAACACATTCTTGTGTATTTCAGAACCTCGGCCTGATAGATGAACACTAGTGTCTGCAAATGCTAGGAGCAGTCACTAGGGATGACACAAAGGGATCAGCAATGAACTTCTGTAGCTCTTTAGCAGAGCAAGGGGGAGTTGGCATTAACAGAAAACCCAAGTCAGACACGTGAATCCAAGAGAACCCACAAATCACATGGGAACATCTGATCTTTTGATATGGCTTTGTCATCTACAAAATTAGCATTGACAATGACTCAATCAAGCTAGCAAAAAGAAATACAAAACCTTTCACAATGCCTTAAGTGACTTTATTTGTGCTTGGGCACGTTCCGCCTACAGGTCACTGCTGACTGAACATATGTGTGTGTGTGTGTGTGTGTGTGTGTGTGTGTGTGTGTGTGTGTGT